AAACTTTTGTGATTCTGAAGGGAAGCGGAATGCGGATGACACATCCCAGAAGAGGGACTGATCAATGTCGATCACTGTCTTTTAACAATATCGTTAATAAGATAGCTTTTGTAAGGCATTATCATAAAGGAATGAAGTCGGGCGAAAGGAGGGAGCAGTTGTGGTGTTTTTGAACCATCTGTTCAAACCTCCGAGGAAGGTCCTTTTCGAGTCGGAGGTGAAAAGGTCCGCAGCTGCGGTTTGCCAATTTCTCCGATCAAATTTTCGAGGGAACCTGGCTGGAAGGTAGTGATAGCCGTTGTCTCCGTGCTCCACAATGTGCAGCACTTGCGTCGTCACCAAGGTACCGCAGCGGCTTAGATACTCACCAGGGAATTGTTGATTGGTGAAAGCCAAATGCTTCACGCTTTGCCTTTTTATACTTGGTTTAAAGACATTTGATGGGCTTAGATCTTTCTTCCATTTCAGACCAAGGAACTGCTTACAAGTGAGCATTCGGTTAAAGAGAAGCAGCTCCTTGAAGCAAATGCTGCAATAGAAGAGAAGAATAAGCTGTTGGAAGCTGCAGAGCAGTCATCTCAAACGACTCAGAAAGAATTGGAAAAGGTGACAGGTTGGTACATGCACTTCGATTTCTCATTACGATATAACTGATGGTTTTTGTCATGATAATTGCTTTGACATCGCATTTCGCGCTCCAAAGCTATTTTAAGAATGCTGGGTTATGGTCAAAAGTTTTGATGCCAGGTGGAACTCGAACCTGTACCTCTTCTGTTCAGTGCAATCTGGGGTACGAAGGTCGCCCCTTACCCTCTCATGCCTCTTACGCACAACCAGGATTGCTGCATTGGGATAATAATGCACCTTTGAATGACATCGTTAGGGGTTTTTCCTGGATTTTTGTATCAGTCAAATTTTTTCTTCTATGTCAAATTTTTTCTTCTTTTCCTTCAGATTTGTTCGAATAAATCTCTGCTGTTTCAGCTGAACTGCAGTCGGCGCTCAGCAAAGTGGAAGAGCAAAAGGAGCTGGTAAAAAGCCTAACAACCAGCAAGGAGTCCGGTGATGCAGTACTGACACAGCGACTAGCAGCTCTTGAACACGAGTTGGAAGTCAAAACGAAAGACTCTGAATCTGTGCATCAAGAGAAAGAAAGCTCTAGAAGACAATCTTAAAGCTTTGGAACAACAGCTGGCGGAGACAAGGGGCTTCCTAGAAGCGCTACAGCAAGAGAAAACATCAGTAGCTGAAGCACTGGAGACCCTGAAGAACGAGAAAGTGGCCGCTGAAGAACGACTGGCTGAGGAACAAAAGAAGAATGAGGCAGTTCTCAACGAGCAACTGGAGAAGATCAAATCCATCACTGTAGAGAAAGAGGCAGCTGAAGCAGCACTTACGGATGCTAAGACTGCAAATGAGTCCTTGATGGCTGAAAAGAATGAGCTCGAAACGAATTTGAAGAACGAGAAAGTGGCAGTTGAAGAGCGATTGACTGAGGAACAAAAGAAGAGTGAAGCAGTTGTTAACGAGCAATTGGAGAAGATCAAAGCCATCACTGAAAAGAAAGAGGAGGCTGAAGCAGCCCTCATGGATGCTAAGACTGCAAACGAGTCCTTGATAGCTGAAAAGACTGAGCTGGAAACGAAATTAGCGGCATTCAAGGACAGCAGCGATGGTGCTAGTAAAGAGGCAGAGGAACGTTGTTCGATGATGGAAAAGAAGCTAGAGGAGTCTAAGGCTGAGGTGAGTCATATGATGTATTACATGACTTATGAAGCTCTGTGTAGGGTTAGGTATTAGGTCATCCCATTCAAAAGTGCCGAGACATATAGAGGAATGGCAGAAAAGCAAAGGGGATAGGGAAGCGGGCTACTATACCATTTGGAGGCTAGTACCTTTAGCTGTGTATCTGTGAAATTTGGCGAACCTACCCACAGAAGAAGTTCTCGAGAAATTGAAAAGAAGCCCGAGTGGTGAAAATCAGCGCCCGATTTTCAAATCAGACGTCATAAGAGGGAAGTGCGCTGCTCAAATTCGACCGGCGCCGGACCAGTAGTTGTGTGTAATGGTGTTCTCGATATACAAGGTGGAAGGTTTGGTTCAGGAGCCCGAAGAAGGAAGAAAGGAAAAAAAAAAAAAAAA